GCCTTCGCCCGGCGGCAGCTGGTGCTGCTGAACCCCTACTCAGCACTCTGCAACCAGATGCTCTGCGAGATGCTGGGGCTGCTGCGCAACCCCAGCGGCCCCGGAAACCCCTGAGGTGGGCACGTCCGTGCCCGTGGAGAGGGTCTGTCTGCGGGGCCAGAGCTCCTCTTCCTCCTCCTCCTCCCAGAGCCGGGACGTGCCGAAGCGCATTGCTTTGTCTCAGCTCCCCCAATAAACCTCCCTGTGCCCCCAGCGCTTGGGCTCTGCTCATGGCACAGCAGCCGGTCGGGGCGTTATTTCAGCTGGGGTGGGTGGGCAGAGGGGTGAGGGGCCCACGGGGACCTTTGCCACACGTGCCCCTGGGCTGCAGAGTGCGCTCCCAACAGCAATAAACTAACCGCGAGTGTCAATGTGGTGCTGCGCTCGTTATTTCTCTTCCGCAACAGCGAAGGGGCATGAGGATAGAAACAAGGCTCAATTTCACAGGTCAGGGGAGACTCACCAGCCCCAGAGCGGAGCTGGGAGCACCTGGGCTGATGCCAGGGCGGTGTCAGAGTGTGGAATTCACCCCCACTTGCTCACAGGCTCCGGGGCAGCCCCAGCGCAGGGTCCTTGGGAAGAGCCGGTTTAATGCTGCTGAGGGAACGAGGGGAAAGTGGAGCCATCGGGCAGCTCCTGCAGTGGGTCCAGCCCCGCTCCGGGAGCACGGAACCACCCGGCAGCACCTATAAACCCCGGGAGGCTTCTCGAGGGCCGTGCGCTCCTTCGTCAGCTGCTCCAGCCCCATCTCCATGTCCCGCAGGCGAGGGGTTATGGGGAAGCTTCACGTGAAGCTCAAGACTTCGGCCTCCACCGCTCGGGAAGGGGGGTTGGAGGGCGGGCTCCTGCTCTTCTTCCCGTCAGCCAGAGGCTTGAAGTGCTGCGGGGGAAGGAGCGTTAGGGCAAAGACACGGCTCTTGTCAATCAGCTGCGAACTGAGCCGTCAGTCACCCTGGCTTTGATGGGAAAAGCCTTCTGGGTTTAGGCTGGGCTGTTGAGTAAGGTGGTATCACGGCCCTGCGGCACGCCAGAGGCTCCGTGGGAAACACTGAGGTACCGGGGAACGAGGAGCTTAAGAAACATCCTTTGGGCCCCGCCAGCCCTGCACAGACAGCCCAGCATGGCAAAGCCAGACCTAAGGACCGCAGCGGGGTCAGCAGGGCCTGTCCAGAGCCATGTACCTGCGAGTTCTTGAACTCTGAGTAGAGGGAGAAGAGGACATGCAGAGGCTGGATCCGGCTCTTGTACACGGGGATGTCCAGAATGGCTGCGGGAGAGAGCGGGGCCATGCTGAGCATCCGGCGCAGCACTGCAGGCACAGGCACAGCCTCCCACGGCGCAAGAGCCCGCTCCCTCCTGAGGGAGCTTCGCTACTCGGGGCTGAGCCTGCACCTACGGCGGCCAGGCCCGCGACTGCAGCAGAGGCCCGCTTACCGCAGACCATGTCGATGTACTCAGGCAGGTCGCAGCTCATCTCCGCTGTGGGCAGCCCCACCTGGGACGGAGGGGTCCGTCAGCTGCTCCCCCAGCCTCCACCAGGGACAGGTGGTGAGCGGGGACAGACCAGGCTCAAAACCAAGCAGGAACCACGGAAGACGGTTTCTACCTACCGATCGCTCAGACAACATACCCTTCCCAAGAGCTCCTCGAATTCTGGTGACCATTCCTGCATCAGCACCTCGATGTCGGGCATGGGCCTGCCAGGGAAGAAAAGATAAACCTGAAGATCAGACACAACCGAAAGGGCTTCCTGCTGTGAAGGGGCCAGCCCCTCTCCGAGCCAGCCGAGCACAGGCCACGCGTCTGCCGAGGGTCAGGCTGGGCCTTTCCGTTTATCCCAGCGAGCCTCAGCAAGTTCTGCTGCTGCTGCTGTTGCTAAACTCCTTCAAATTACAAAGGGAAAGAGAAGTGCTGAGAGGGAAACAGAGCACCCTGTGTGCGGGCATGGCAGGACGACCCTGGAGACCACCACGTCTTCTCCCCCTCAGAGACACTTTGGTAGTTTCACTCAGCACTCCTAGACTCTGGTACCAGGCTCCGCTGAGCTGAGCTTCCTCTGCACCAGCGTGCGAGAAGCGGGGCTGGCAGAATGGCTCACCGGCTGTAATGGACCGTGGCAGGTGGTTTGCAGCGGTGCAGTTCGCTGATACTTTCAATCCAGTTGTCAATGGCTTTGGGGTTATTCTCTGCATTCTCCAAACTCTTCACTTTTATCTGCTGCTAAAAACAAAAATATAAACCTGGAAGCATTCTCTGGTATTTTGGGGCTTTTTTGTTGAACACCACATTTGTCCCTGATTAACCATGCCATTTTCTCTTTCCTAGTTGCCCTGTAACAACTGATTTCTGCAGAGAAGAGCAGAGGGCAAACAAAATGCCGAGCCGAGCAGGTAGTGACAACCCAAAGGAAAAAAGCTTCACCTGAAGGAAAAAGATCCCAAGTGTGCGCTGAGACTGCCTGAAGCAAGGCATAGAGCCTTTGCAGTTTAAAGCTATAGGTTAAAGAAAAAGATAAAGTTTTCCTGCTTTTAAAGCCAAGTTATCAGTGGTGCTGCAACACTGTAGTCCCAGAAGCAAAGGTAAGAGTAAACCATGGTGCTTTTGCCAGAGCCAGCACGCAGGGACGCGCCCTCCCTCTGCCCCACTCACTGTGATGTTGTGCTGCTTGGAGTTCTCCGTCAGCCAGAGGGAGAGCACGGTGGGGTCCGACTGCTTGGTCGATGGCTCATCCAGGACCAGCAGGCCCAGGTTATCAGGTTTGCCGTCGGGACGGGGCACCTGAGGGCAGAGAGAGACCCCTTTGCTGTGGGAGTCCCACGGCGGGAAATTGGGGCTACTTGGTACAGACTCTCCCTCCAGTTTAAAAACCAGACCCTAGAAGGAATTGGTAGGAGTGCTCTTTTGGGTACAGTGCCATCTGAAAAGCACAAGCTGTGGGACGAGGGAAAACACAGCCCTCACCCCAAATCCCCTACATACTGTTTGAGAGGGGACTGAGCACTGAGCGCAGTTTCCAGGGTCTCCAGGACATTCTGGTGGCTGTGGGGGGAGACTGGCCCCCCGGAGCTGCTCGGCCCCAGTGCTGCCCCTCTCACACCAGTGCCGCAGCCCGTTTCAGTCCCTGCCGCGGGAATCAGGCAGCAGCTGTACCTTTAGGAACGCATCGATGTCTCCAACTGCAGGAATAAAGTCAGGAATGAAAGGCTGCAGTTTGTGGTCGATCTCTACTGTTTTGGGAGTGTACCTGGAAAAAACCAACACCCCAGTGTGAGTGACTGGCTACAAACCATCCTGCGAGACTCGCCACAACAACTGACCCCAAGGAGAGCCAAGAGCGGGCTAAAACTTCCACTCACCTCTTGATGTACTCAAAGAGTTCTTTGATTTCTGAAGACACGGGCAGGTAGTCATAATCTGTGAGGTTGAAGTCACTAAAGAAGGGAAAAGAAAGGTGAAACTTTAACATCTGGTAGGTTCTGTGTGAGTGGGACATGGGATCCTACTGTGCAAGACAGATGTGAAGGACACCAAAGCACCAGGTAGCAAGTGCTCTCTTAAAAAGACTTCTTTCACAGAAAAAACACTGTTGGGCCCCGTATTGCCTGAGGCCTCCTGGCCAAAAAAAGGCACCTGAGTGATGGACTGTTCTGATCCGAAGGACTTGTACCGGGGATGTGCAAAGGCGGAGGAGTGCTCCGTAGAAAGGCATTAGGACAGCAACCGAGGCGTTTAGTAATGAGTTTGGAGTTGAAAACAGCTGAATAGGAGGAGGATGATCAGGAGAAGGATGTGTTTGAGAGGTTCCTTCTCTCCCTCGGGCCTCCGCTGCCAGCCAGGGCTGGAGTGGGGCAGGAGGCTGGCGGACAGCTCTGGTCCTTCCCGGCTGTGCCTCCCCTGCGCACAGCAAAGCGGGGCCCGGGGGCTCTCCCAGGGGCTGCCCGGGTGGCTGCACTTCACCACACCAAGGAACCGTTCTCTGGAGCCACCCGGGCTCGAGGAGGCAGGAGCTGCCTGTCGCAAGGCCCATGGCCACGGTCGCCCTCACAGGATCACGACCACGCCAGCAGAGCCGAACGGGCCCGTACGGCCCCTGCCCGGCACCGGGCCCGGTCCCTCCGGCTGCTACCACCACTTACTCCTCCACCGCAGCCCCGTGCTCCTCTGAGTCGTCCTCCGAGTCGGTCTCGGTCGAATCCTCCTCCGAATCGTCATCGTCGTCGTCCTCGCTGAGGGCGGGGGCTGAGGGGGCCGCCGCCTCCTCCTAGGCGAGAGGGACTGGGCCTCACCGGGCCGCCTCCCCGGGCCGCCCCTCCCGCAGCCGGCCCCGCGCTTACCTTACCGCCGCCCTTCTCCTCCTCCTCCTCCTCGCTGCTGCGATCGGCCGCGCCGCCGCCCGCCC